TCACTTTTACTTTTCCTCCCTAGTGAGGAAAAGTACGACTTTGCTCCCTACAATGAGGCCAGGAAATGTATACTTTGGATAGAGGTAAGTAGGCGGAAAAAATCTTTTTATGATATTTGTGTTGAAAGTTTTATTTTGTTCGTGAAATTGCTCAACTCGCTACGTTCGTTTCCAAACTTGTTCACACACAAAATAAAACCTTACTTTCAACACTCATATCATAAATTAGTTATTTATTATACAAGGGAAAAAAGTGGAAAAAAGTAATTTCATAAAAAGTGACATTTTGTTACCTGTCATCAGAAATAAAATGTCAAACTTTGTTCCCGTCACAGAAAAATAGCTATTTTTTCATGTTCTCAACATTATTCATTTGATAAAAAAGTTTTCNTCATCAGGAATAAAATGTCAAACTTTGTTCCCGTCACGGAAAAATAGCTATTTTTTCATGTTCTCAACATTATTTATTTAATAGAAAAGTTTTCGGCCGGAAGATCCGTTTAACCCAATCAAAATACTGGCATGATGAATACCTGACAGATTTCAATATATACCCTATCTATGAACGAATGAAGGAAACACCAATAATCTCAAGAAATGTCGGGTATCGGAAACTTTTAAGGATTATAGCTCACAACATTTTTATGTAAAAATTCAAGCAACAATTAATCAATAGCAGCTTAGCCAACGTAACTCCATGAAAATTAAATATTAGGACTCAATTTTTCCGATATATCTCACGAAAACTCCTAGGGTGACACTGACACCATTGAGAAATCTCTCTCTCTCTCTCTCTCTCTCTACACCAAAGACCCTTCAAAACGTTTTGTTCCCACCAATCTTATCTTAGTCCAGATGTCAGACGAAGATGAATACATGATTTGTAAAAACAGCTGATCTTTCTATGTATGAATAACTTTTGACGGGAATGGCTCAATTGGGTGTCAACAAAAAACACAGTTGGAACATGAAAACAAAATGGCGACACTGATATTATTTTGGTTACGTACTCGTGGCACCATCTATTTGTGGATAGAACCGAAATTGGAATTGACTATTTCATTTGAATTCAGGGAAAGATGTCAACCTGCTACCAAAATATAAATCGCCTTTGTTTACAATGGAAGACAATAGCATTACATTTTTAAATAAATTAAATGTATTAAACATATTAGTACCGTAATATTTTCTCCATCAATACTAATTGTTCGGCATCGAAAGTCCACTCCTATGGTAGCCTCGGCAAATTCCAAAAACTTTCCTTCGCAAAATCTGTACGTTAATGTTGTTTTCCCAACATTCGTATCTCCTATTACAATAATTTTGTAGATTCTTCCTTGTTTCTTCAGCTCACTGAGAGTATTTCGCATGTGGTTAGGAGATCGATTTTCCTCAGTGGCCATATTTCACCTGCTGATACATAACACACATCACAGTTTCGAAAAACGTTACACCAAACACAAATGCAGTAATAGTTATTTTTGTGTAATTACATATCGGAGTGTAATGATTATTAAGTATTATACCATACCAAGTCTAGGAGCCTGTCGTTGGCCTTGACTTTTTTAGAGACACTTGTCAGTGGTAGCTGTCAAAAGTTGAGAGGTTGCTTCTGCTAAAATGGCGTAAAGATTTGTTTAGAATAAAATAATTTGGGTGTGGCTGTCGAAATCAAAACAAAATTGTAATTAACGTCAATGAAAGCTCCTTTCCTAAGTAATTAGTTCGTTATTGTTGACACAACTGGCTCGTAACTTGTGATGGTATTTTCATACACGTCAAACTAGTGCAGTGTAGAGGTTATAAGTTGAAGTATTTTTTTTTCAAGAGAAAATACAAAAATGATAATTTTAATGAAAAATTCTGCTTCCCCGAAGTGAGCTGAAAGATGTCACGATTAGCAGATTACTTTGTGGTGGTAGGCTATGATCACGAAAAAGAAAGTAAGGACTTTACCCTGAAGCTACTTTTACAAGAAAATCTAACTCTGTGTTGTTGCAGGAAGCGGTATAAGCAGTGGATTGATTCTTCAGAGATTTCCTGAGAAAGATTGGCCCGATACCCCTTTCATTGATGGAATAGAATGGGTATTTTTTGCCACTTGTGATGTGAATTTCAACCAAAACTTTGATTGTTTTAGTTTTGTCAACCTCAAGGATGGACCCTGTCCACAGAAAGGCAAGAGCCAAGGTTTTTCGTGTCGGTACTCACAGACATAGATGCAAATCGACATTATTGTGCATGTCTTTGCTTCAATGAGACCGTGTCCATAACTCCAAGCAAACCTGTTGATGAAGTGAGTTGTGTTCAAAATAGTATGGTGGCAGTTTTTGTGATTGTTATTTTCAGGAGGAAGATGCGGTGGAAGGAGAAACCCCGCTTGTTAGAGCGATACCAACAATTTCTCACCATAGTATAATGTATGCTCCAAAATGCCTTGTTCTTGTCTCAAGGCTAGATTACATTGAAACTTTTAGAGTAAGTTGTAGTTTCTATAAGGTTCTGCATAACAAAATACATAATAATGACAGCTGAATTGTTCAACACAACAAATTAGCTTTGTTGAAATAGTTGATAATATTGATAATACCGATGAGTATTTTTTTCATTATTATAATCTCTTCTCTATCCTACCATTTCAAAGTTTGTCACCATCAAAGAGTGATCTACTTCAAATTATTCAATTTCAAACTCCATGAGGGTCATTTTATGTCAAATCAACTGATGGCCTGGAATATGCATTTTGGATTTTCATAATGTTTGGGTTGCTCAATAGTACCCACAAAGAATATTAAGAATCTAAAATCTCAGGTTACTAGGACAATTAGTTTACTGAAATATTGAAAATATATTTATTTCTCTTTGATTCATTCGAAACTGCAGTATTTTATTACTGTTACTATTACTGCAGAATAAAGTTATGAGATGTATTTTCAAATCAGATTATAGGGAATCAAATATTAATTTATACAAACCAAAAAATATATTAGACATATCAATGTTATTCAAAGTCAAACTTTGCTCCATTATTTATCTGGCAAAAAACAAATTGAAATATTCTAATTTGATTTTTGAAATGAATAGTAATCAACATGAATATTCAATAAGACATTCAGATAAGAGTTTTGAATAATGAATTCAATATTAGTAAACAAAGGATTTATTGGAATGATTTTTGAAAAAATCCAAAAAAATATCCTCTCTTATGAATTATTATATCATTATCAATATATTATATACTAGCGAATCGCCCCCGGCTACTCACGGATGCAATGCTGATAGTCATTATACTTTCTTTTCTGAAAATTAATTTTTTTGAAATATTTTCTTCAAAATTCATTCACTTTGTTGTAAGCATAAAGGTACATAATAGATTTCCAGTTAGTAATGTTATTTCTATTTATTTATCATACTGATATGNGTTTTTGTTACTTAATAATTTGTATCACTTTTCTTTAAAAAAAAAATTAAGAAAATAATATCAGTTTGAACCTTCTATGTGAATTATTGTCTGCGATAATGGATTTTAAATTAGCAAAAGTGAAGTCAAAATTTCGGTTTTTCTAAATGTTTGGCCATTAATAACTGAAAATTTGTTGTTGTTTTTTAATTTTCAGTTAGTACTATTGAGTAAACCAAAAACTATTCAAGTAACTTTTCATCATGAGATTTTCACTGAACAGTTTGCTGAATTGCAACACGTTTTGCTATACAATAGCTTTCTCAGGTATGTTTGTTCTAACTGAATTTTTCCCAAGTAGTATAAATATAAACAATTTCCATGATAGGGAGGGAGAAACAAATGANTTTAATAATCTCAATATCAATGCTGCGATAGTAATAATAATGTTTTTAAACATATCTCAAATTAATAATAGAAAATAACATTTTAAATTAAATAAATAGTGTTCAATTTAATAAACCAAAACTTACTACATCGAATGAAGCTTTCTAGGGTACCATTAAAGAGCATTTCTTAATACTTAGCTTTTAGATAAGATATCACAAAGTGGAGATGGCCATTTAAGAATATAAAGTGGGGGTGGCTGGGAGCGAGGGAGTAAGTGAAAACAAGTAGCTATTACATCATTTTGTTTACCCCGCCCTAAGTTGTTTTCAACGATTTCTTATATTTTATTTGATTGCTCAGATATAGCCATTGTAAGTTTTCAAATTGTCGCCCTGTAAGCTGTCAATTCCGTTAACTTGGTATTTCATCACATTAATGACTTTGAAAATGTTACTTCAGCAGTATTCTTTTGAACTCCAATCATAAATGAACAGCATACCTTGTTTATATCGATTTGAAGTGACCTTCTAACAGTAAAAGTTTAGAGGACGTTTGTTTGAGACAATTTATATTCTTTGAAAAAAAAGTTATGTTTTATCCTACAACATTAAAAAAGTTCAATTTTATACAAATCAGTGTAATTTCAATAAATCTATCCCTTGAAAAATGATAAATGAAAGGTCCTATGTTTTTATACCACTTGTATTTGTACCTTACGTTACTGCAGTTTCGTCCTACAAGGACATTTTCAAACTAAGACAGTAATACAAGAGTTTATTGTATTAGTTTGAAAATATTATACAAGGGCATTTTCAAACTGATACAATGATACAAGAGTTTATTGTATTAGTTTGAAAACATCCTTGTACGACAAAACTGCAGTAACGTTAGTTACAAATACAAGTGGTATAAAAACATAGGAACTTTTATTTCTCAATTTTCATGATGATTTTCTCCCACATAGTAGCGGCTACATCCATATATTTTAGTCTATTTCTGATTTACCCAATGTAAATCCCTTCATTTTCAGAATTGTTTGGGCATTATCTACTCGGTATACATAGAAAACATGCCAGTACATTTAGAAACCCTTGTTGGAAATATATTAGGCTGTATCCAAGTTCCACCTCCAGGGGGCCCTCAAGTTCGCTTCAGTATCGGTGCTGGAGACCGGCAAGCCCTTCAACCACCTCTATCGCCATCTTTACCCGTTACACACTCTTCTGTCAACTTGCTCTTTCACCAACTGGGCATTCGTAATGTTTTGGTTTTATTTTGTGCTATTATGACAGAACACAAGATCCTTTTCCACTCAAAGAGTTATAACAGGTTGACGGAAGCTTGCAGGGCTTTGACGGCTTTGATGTATCCTTTTAGGTACACCCACGTGTACATTCCTCTGCTGCCGGCCCCTCTCGTTGAAGTGCTCTCCACTCCTACTCCGTTCATTATGGGGGTGCATTCTTCATTGAAATCTGAAGTGGCAGAATTGGTAAGTTTTCAAAATATGAACTGTAAAAAATGAATTGAAAATACAACATCAATGTATTGAAGCATCATTAAATTATTTTAGAAATACTTGTCAAGTAACTACAATTTTTAAATCTAAAAGTATGATCATGCTTGTGCATAAATGTTTTGATGAATGAGATTAATGCACATAAATCATGCAGGTAGTATTAGAAGTTCACACTTCCATTATCTAAAAAAGTGTTGATTGGAAATCTATCTGAAGAAGATAAGTAACTGGAATATTCAACTAATGCTTAATGCATATAACTTATAAAGGAAATATTTTCAAAATGAAATCATAACAAATAATTTTTGTTATGTAAGACACCTACAAAAAGAACATTCGGGGTACAGGATTCTACTATCTTTAAACCAAATTTAGCTGATATAGTTCAAAGGTAAGAGTAATCGTTTTCTCTGTATGTGCTGGTATAAGTTGCAACAGTAAATGTATGTTATGTAAGACACCTACTAAAAGAACATTCGGGTTACAAGATTCTTCTATCTTTAAACCAATTTTAGCTGATATGGTTTAAAGGTAAGAGTAATCGTTTTCTCTGTATGTGCTGGTATAAGTTGCAACAGTAAATGTATGTTATGTAAGACACCTACAAAAAGAACGTTCGGGGTACAAGATTCTACTATCTTTAAACCAAATTTAGCTGATATGGTTCAAAGGTAAGAGTAATCGTTTTCTCTGTATGTGCTGGTATAAGTTACAACAGTAACTCAGTAAATCAATTTCTTTATATATGCTCTAATTCACTGTGTTGATTCATGTTTTTAATAGCTCTCAGTTTCTCACCAAACTAACAAATACTATAGACACTCATGTATTCAATAAATTTTTCACCAATTACATAAGAATCACAACCTGCTTTGTTAAAAAAACTGAGCAGCCATCCGGCGCGTAAAATAATTACCAACCAATTACAATTTTTTCCTATACTATTAGGATATTTTCTGTTCAATAAACTCATTTATTCATTCAATGATTCAATTACAACTTCCTCAAAAGCCACCACTTTCAGATGGACGTGATTGTAGCGGACCTCGACGGAGGTTCTATAACCATCCCAGACGGTATATCGTTACCACTCCTTCCTGAACCTCTGCTGAGCAACACGCAAGAGGCACTCGGCATCATCCTGCAGCCCGAGTTGAGCTGCGCAGACCACGCTTTCCCCCCTCTTGCCGTTCGAGCTCCGCAGCCAGTCATGCTCGACAAGGAAATCCGCGCAGTCTTTATGCGCACGTTCGCGCAACTTCTGCAAGGCTACCGCAGCTGTCTGACGCTTATCCGTATCCACCCAAAGCCTGTTATCACGTTTCACAAGGCCGCCTTCCTCGGTGAGCGCAACCTCAAGGACTGCGACTTCACGACGCGCGTGCTCGATTGCATGTTTTTCACGAGCTTCGTATCGGAGCGAGGGCCCCCCTGGAGGCCGTGCGACGTCTGGGATGAGCTGTATAGTAACTTGAACGAGCTGCACAAGACTGAAGCACAGGATCCTCGTTTGGTGATTGCACATATTCAGGATCTCGCAACGCAGCTCTACACCAACGAAACACCAAATCCACAGTCATACTCTCAGAAGATTCTTGTGCCTCCTGAAGGGGCTTTCGCTAGGATCCATCAGCCGCCATTGCCGATGATCAGCGTGGAGAAAGTGCAGGCGATTATAGAGGAGGGGATGTCGAAAAACAATCTGAAGTCAAGGTGAGTTGAAACGTTTTCTTAACAGGATATTGTGAGGATTAGAGTTGTTTTTATGACACAGAGTGATTCGATAAAATTAAAGAACAATATGTGACATTAATGTTTTTGATTAAAAAAATTATGCTTCTTCATGTCCAGTCAGTCAATAAAAATTATTTGGGGAGTGTTAATGAAAATTTTAAAATTCGAAGAAAAGAAGAAGACCAGCCCATAATCCAAATCTATAATGAGTATGAGTTACTCAAAGAATTCCAGTATTGTATTATAAACATTTTCCCATGAATTAAAATATAATATTTCATGGGGTGTAGGTTTTACCGCTTCTTCCCCTTTTCAACCAAACTCTGATGTTGATAATAATAACTTTCTTGATATATCAAGCTTCAATGAAAACGAAGTATACGAGGCACTAAGGTCGCTCATGCCTAAAAAGACCACTGGTCCAAATGACATTCCAGCTTTCATCCTAAAAGATTGTGCACTTTTGCTTGCTCGTCCTCTATTTTAATAAATATCTGCTTAAGATCGGCTACAATACCAAGGATCTGGAAATCATCAAAAGTTTGTCCCATTTTCAAGAAAGGAGATAGACGAGATATTTAAAATTATCGGCCTATCTCTATTATTTGCAACTTTGCAAAGGTTTTTGAGATTCTGCTGGAGCTAGTTATTTATCGACATGTTAGTTGCAATATAAGTATAAACCAACACGGTTTTATGAAAAATCGTTCAACGCTCACTAATCTTCTGACTGTAACCCAACATATTGCCAAACTGATGTTATTTACACAGACTTTTCTAAGGTCTTCGACAGGCTTGACCATGGCATTCTACTGAACAAACTAGTAGCCTTTGGATTTTCTCCATCCTTAATCGCACTGTTTCAGTCCTATCTACGGGATCGAAAACAATATGTTCAGCTCAATGGTTTCAAATCTACCGAATATATTGCTTCTTCCGGTGTTCCACAAGGTTCAAATCTGGGACCGTTGCTCTTCAATATATTCATTAATGATATTGCAGATGTTATAGATGTGTATTTCCTTTTATATGCCGATGATCTAAAACTATACTGCCTCGTTGAGAACATAGATGAATGTGTGAACCTCTCAGCAAACGTAGGACGGGTTGTAGAATGGTGTTATCGAAATAACTTGTCACTGAACCCGGATAAATGTAAGGTCATGTCCTACAGTTTGAAAACGAATATCTTGATCTTTGATTATTCAATAGAAAACGTTTCCCTGGTGAGACCAGAAACATTTACTGATCTTGGCATCACATTTGACACTGCACTATCATTTAATAGGCATATCGATAATGTTGTAACCTCCGCCTGTCGTTTGTACGGATTAATTGCACGTAGAAGTAGTGATTTCAAAGAAACTTCGACCTTAAAAACTTCAATCTATGCTTTCATAAGATCAAAGTTAGAATACGTGTCAGTTGTGTCTTTTATCAATATAACATTGATAGAATAGAAGCAATTCAACGACGATTTTTAAAACTGCTAAGCCTAAAAACCCACTCTGAATTGCTACAAAAGCATAACTTTTGCAGTCTTGAAAAAAGGCGTGAATATTATAGTGTTGCACTAACCTATAAAATTATCAAAAGCATAGTTGACTGCCCAACATTACTGGAAAAGTTTAATATTTACATTCCTAGAATCTGATCCAGACACCCGAGTACTTTCTATATAAAAACATCTCGCACAAATGTTCTGGAGAATTCTCCGATCCATACCATGTTTAAAGTGACAAATTCTGTTAGCGATAATTTAGATATATTTAGTTGCAAATTGTCAAATATAAAATCCCACTTCCTAAAATAATTGTTTTGTCACCTATAATAAATATAAAATGTGTAGTCTTTATAGTCACTTGTTTGTATTGTTTGTAGACTTTACAGTAACTTGTTTGTGATGTATTTATTATACTCTGTTATTTCCTGCTCTGTAATTGGGCTATGTCTTGTAGAGTATTGTATTACAAATAAATAAATTTCCAGGTCAATTTCACTGGTCAAATACGATCATAAATAAATCACTCTTAATTATTATTAAGATAATCATTAATATAATGGGGTTCCAGGTCTATTTAGAGCTTATTTGAGGAGGAATTTTTTGTTCATTGTGGTAGTTCATTATAAAATGTTATTACTGCATAATGAATAATTTTTTCGGTGATAATAGATGATTCAGATAGATGACATCATTCCTTCTAGAGTTCTCGCTATGAGGGGTAGAAATATTGAAAGTTTTACCTATGTTTGGTTAATTTTTTCAGAATTATCAATGTATTCTGCAATATTCCATTTGGTTTGGTAGTATTTTGTATTCAGAATTGAATATGAAGAATCAAGTTAGGAGATTGATCGTGATATAGGTTCGATTTTAAGATGATTTTTTTTTCTCAATGTTTTCAACTTTCTCAAGTCAAAAACTGTTGAATGAAGTCGTTCAACACAACTTTCATCGCCAGCAGTCCACATAAAAAACTGTTCAAAGCTTCTAATCTATGAAAGTGGATATTTCTAACTGGGTTGGCTTAGTATTCATGATTATTGGAAACTTCAAGAGGTAGTGAGATCTTGCAACTAGTACATTTTTAGCTATTCCCTTACATTTCTGGGTCAGTTTTACTGATCAAATACGATCATAAATAAATCACTGGTAATTATTATTAAGATAATCATTAATATAATGGGCTTCCTTGCACTGACGCCTGTCTGATATAATCCAACGCCCTTCGTGGTATTTGTCAGGGGAGTAGTTGTTTTCTGATAGGCGTCAGTCCATTAAACCTACTGTGTAGGTATATAGAGACTGGCTTGAACGTTTGAAGTTCCATTTGCTTTAGATTTCAAGTATTGTTGAAATATGAGTTTTATATAAGTTTAAATGATTATGACAAACTTCTTACCTTTGGTAAGATAGCAAAAAGCCTTCATGAATTCAAAAACAAATTTTTTTATGATATTAGGTCTGGATCACTGGTAGCTCAAACCACATTTTAATCTCTCATGTAGTGTTAAGTATTTAGTATGTTTTTTTTTCTGTTCTAAATTCTGTCATCCAATGAAATACTATTATATAGCTAGGTTTTCTGAATATTAGGATCATTTTCTGCTAATAAACTTTCATTCATCATCATTATAAGTTTCCAGAAACATAATTACAAGAATAATGAAAAATGAAAATTTTTCCTATGATGGAATAATGTGTGAAAGTGATATGAAAATATCATGTATTTTTTTCTATGATATAATAACATTTTGAGAACTACTCATACTTTGATATATTCCACGTGGAAACTTGGAAATATATTTTAATTCTCAAAAAAAACTAAAAAATTATTCCATGATGTATCAGAACCACCAAAGGGTTGAATTTTGTCATTTCTTCATTTGCATTTTCAGTTAGAATTTCGTCTACAGAGGTACCATATGAAAAATCGAACGATCACCAACAACTTTAGAAAAAAATAACAGAATTCTATTCTATATTCATATCGAATCACTCTATGCATTCACATTCAACAGTGTAGCGTTTTTGTGTTTGATTATGTTTTTTTTTGTGCAGTGGCGATTATGCCTGGTAAGTTTTAGCAATTGGTATATCCGTTGTGCTTTTGTATTTTGAATCATTAAAGATTCTCACTTTGTTGTTATGTAATGCAAGATTGCACAACCGAAACACTGCTTGGCGTGAGTTTCAAATGGTGTCGTTGGCTTCTGCTTCCTATCCCGCTCTGCATAAATAAAAGATTCATGGATGTGTGTCAAATAGATGTAATTTTAGATTTTTTCAAATATCATGCATGAACAAGAGAGTTGACCTGAATTTTCTTTTTTCATGTTAACTGCAATATGGGTCAGACTGAAAAGCAGTCTTTATATAACATAATGCCATTCCTTTTCTCAAACCGCAAGATCATATTGGCGTGCCAGAATATACAAAGTTCAGGATGTGCCACGATGTGGAACTTTTCTGCCCTCTGTAAAGTCATTATACATTCTTTTCTGAAAATTAATTTTTTTGAAATATTTTCTTCAAAATTCATTCACTTTGTTGTAAGCATAAAGGTACATAATAGATTTCCAGTTAGTAATGTTATTTCTATTTATTTATCATACTGATATGTTTCTTTTCTTTGTGAAATATATGAAAATTCCCAACCAACTCGAAATGCAGTTTTTCAATGAAACCATTATTGATGAATGAAATCTCAACTTTCTGTTCTATTATAATGTAAAAGTGTTGATTAGTTTTGTTCTGTTTAATTTTTCACTTGCAATGTAAATCATCCCATTGCTTCATTACTGTACTCTTTACTGCTTTGCTTGTCTATTGATATGATTTTGGACAAAGCTATTTTCAGCAATTTGGATGGTACATTTAATAAAAAACAAGGAAAAACTGATTAGGAGGAAATTTTCAAAGCCTTTTTTGATCAGCACCCATTTCATATTCATAATATTTGCACATTCACTTGAATGTCAAAACTGAGAAAACTTGATTACTCACCTGTCTCTCATACTTTTACAGGTTATCTTCTTTGAGACCGATACAACCCAGAATAGTGCCTATGGGACCAAACATATCCAATCTGAACGATAACAAAAATATCGTCAGTAATTCTGCCAGAAGATTAGAAGTAAGTTAAAAAACTAAAGTTTGAAAAATTAGGTTTTAGAACTCACTGATCTATTTCAATTTCTACCTCAACACCTCATACTGAACATTCATGGTGATCCTTTTCAGGTTCTCCGTAACTGCATAAATTGCATCTTTGAAAACAAAATTTCCGATGCCAGGAAAACCTTTCCGGCTGTCCTAAGAGCTCTTCAATCTAAGCAAGCTCGTTTGGCCCTGTGCACTGAGCTCTCGCACCACGTCAGTGGCACGAAAGCCATGCTAGAACACCAGCAATTTGACCTTGTTGTGCGGCTGATGAACTGCGCCCTCCAAGATGATTCATCAATGGACGAACACGGTGTTGCAGCTGCTCTGTTGCCACTTGCAACGATCTTCTGCAGGAAGTTGTGTACTGGCATAATACAGTTTGCATATACTTGCATTCAGGAGCATGCTGTTTGGAACAACCAGCAGTTTTGGGAGGCAGCCTTCTACCAGGTAGAAAAATATTGTTTTACATTCTTATACTTCTCGAATATCTCAGATGAAACTTTTACTACTTTTTTAGCGCTGTTAATATTAATAATGAAAAACGATAATATCTCTTCTTCTGGTATCACTTACATTTTCATTGTGGGAGATCATAAAATTCTTTTAAATATTTCATGCAATGTGGGTATCAAGGGTTCTGTAGTTGGTTCCAAAATGATTTGAATAATAAAATAATAATTAAGACATTCAGATAAGAGTTTTGAATAATGAATTCAATATTAGTAAACAAACGATTTATTGGAATGATTTTTGAAAAAATCCAATGAATTATTATATCATTATCAATATATTATATACTAGCGAATCGCCCCCGGCTACTCACGGATGCAATGCTGATACTAACTATACGATACCATGTAGTTGGTCCATGAATGAATAAATTTCTTTCTTTCTTCCTTTCTTTCTTTCTATAAACGCATGCGATCACCCGAAAGTGCTCGTTCTTGGATTTATGCTATGTAAGAGAAAATTTAGAGCTGCAAATGAAAATACTGGTAAAAATAAAAAATACTGCAATTTTGAACATATTAGACTGAAATAGTTTATTTTCATAAATATGTATATACTTTTTCTTAGAGTTAGGAATTGTTTTTTTTATGTATGTCTATACTTGGTAATGTGAAAGTCGCTCACTTAACACCCATTTGTCTCTGTTTCTCAGTACTGGATGAGTCGTAGGAAGCTAAAATTTGGTATATAGGTGCTTCTTAGGTGTTACTTGCCCAGTAAGAAAGAATTGTCTAATATTCCAACTGGGGATCCCCCCGTGAGGGTACAAGTGGCGTATTTACATGTGCAATAAGAAAGAATTTTCAAATACCTCACCTGAGGATAAAAGGGGCACGTTTACATATGAAAATTACCTTTTCATGACTCTTTCTCGGTATAGCTATATTTTCGGAGGCTGAAATTTTATATGTAGGATCGTTTTATGTTGTAGAAGTGCAATAAGATAGTTTTTAAATATTCAAACTGGGGCGCCCCGACTGGGGCGCTTTTACATATAAAAATTATCTTCGCATCACTGTTTCTTCGTTCCGCTTTATTTTCGGAGGCTGAACTTAAGTCCCATCACTAATTTAAATTCAAGGATTACTATGAGGTGCATCACCAAACTTATTATTTTCAATTTATTACCACCAGGACGTTCAGAAAGATATCAAAGCCCTCTACTCCGCCAGAGCTGACAGCCTCGCCCCAAGACTGCCCGTCGAAATGCTCAGCCCGACTTCTCCAAGAGACAGTAAGGACTACACTTGGCATCGACGATCGGCGCTCAGCAGAGCTCAGGAGGCGACCGCTTTGGAAATCGCCGCCGAACAAATGCGCATCTGGAACTCGATCGACCACGACAAGCAGAAAGAACTGACGACCTGCGAAGAGAACACAATGTATAGTCAAGCAATACACTATGCCAATCGAATGGTGTATTTACTGATACCGCTGGATATGGGACACAAGGCGAGTAAACAGGATCTTTTTGATGATGAACGAGCAAGTAACAGCGTAGCAAACAGGTAAGTGGTGAAGATTATTAGATTTGCTGGACTCGCCTTTTAAATTATTAATTTTTTTAATTTTCACACGAAATTGTCTTCGAGCAATAAATCAAGAGATTATAGTCAAAACGTCATAAATTCAATGTTTGTCTACATTTTGTATGCTACTTGGGAGTCGACTGACTTGTTCATTTCTTGTGACACCCATTCCAAGATTTTTTTGGATGATTATCATATTCTTCTGTAGTTAATTTGAGTTGTTCATAAATTGCCTGCCCCACATTCACAAAAAACATGAAGAGCTGTCTTTGCCATTGTTGCACTGCCTCCAGGTATGGTCGCCATTATACAACCCTATTTTGTTCAAGTGTCTGAGCCGATCCCTGTTATAATGAAGCAGTTCAATTTTTTTTTCAGGAAGCCTATGAAGGTTTTCCTGTGTGAATTCTCAGGCATATTTTCTCAGTACTTTTTGTATTTTTTGGACCCAAGCCCTGATATGGTCCCTTCGTCAGCTTTTTTGTTGCCAGTGAATGTCCAGGCACTACTGCCAGGAAAGAGAGAGAGAGAGAAAGTACTTTATTGTTCATGAATAACATCATGGTTACAAAGTTAAAAAATTTAAAAAAAAATATAAAATATACATAGCACCGATACCAGAGAAAATATGTCAACAACAATTAAACTTGTAATAAAAGGTAACATGTCACACTTAATACTATATAAATCTACACAACTATACATAATAAAAGATGAGCAACACTATGCGACATATGGAAATCAAATAAGGAATATTCTAGTGTTTCACTAAAGTATTCATTCAGACTGTAATAGGCTCTGTCTAATAATAGATTTTTTACTGCTCTTTTGAATTTATAGAAGAATTTGAATTTATAGAAAAGAATTTTGAATTTATAGAAAAGAGCTATCTAAATAACAGAATGCACTGTGTTGAAATTGTTAAACATAGCATAGAGTACACTGTCCAATTGGTGTTCCGTACGGATCCATGTTTAGAATACTTCTGTATATAATAAATGAAGGAAACTGAATATGTCAACTTAGTTGGTGAGACGCGCGGTGAGAAGAGTATTGTATTTCTGGTGGTTACCATGGTTACTGTATGGTGGTCAGCATCTGTTGTGATTCACTATAACTTTCTGCAACCGGGCCAAACCATCACAGCAGAGTCTTATTGTGAGGAAATCGACGAAATGTCCCGAAAATTGCGTCAGCAGCAGCCGGTACTGGTCAGCAAAAGAGGTTCGATCCTGCTCCACAACCTCAACAAAATTCACCAAATTAATTGTTAACAACCTTTTCAGATGGCGCTTCATTACCTAAAGTTGAATGAAGCGATTATATGCAGTTTTGGCGAGTTGAGCCTTTATTATTACTCTATCGAGTAATTGGCATGTAGCTTTGTGTAGACAAGTTATTGAAATCAACACAAAATGGCTATCAATGTTCATTATGTAACATTATATATTTACATTCACTCAATATTCATATATTAATATACTTATATTTGTATCTGTTCAGCTGGGCTCAAAATTGTTCTGTCCATTTACTCTTGTCTCTAAGCATAATTATATAGTTTAAATTTGTTAATTTAATGTCCCATATACACATTTTACTTTACTAGATTTTGCCAATAAGATGTTCAGATCTTGGGTAATAAAGCATATTTTGAATTGATTTGATTTGATTAAATTGCAAAATCCTTCCAAAGTAAACCTTTGCTTGCTTTCTTCAAACTAGAAATACCAGACGTCGAGGATTGACTATTTGTTTGCCAATATTCATAAACATCATTTCAGTGTTGCTGAGAGTGACAGCGCAGATGCCGAATCAGGTTTTGAGGATCAGGACCCAGGCGAAACTGGAAACACGGTCATCAGGATAGTATCCAGGTTTATCGATAAAGTTTGCAATGAGGGAGGCGTTACTAGAGATCACATCCGGAACCTACACCAGATGATTCCTGGGGTTGTACACATGCACATCGAAACTTTAGAGGCTGTGTACAGGGAGTCAAAACGGTTGCCGCCTATTCAGAAACCTAAGATACTCACTCCTAACATGCTAGTTGGGGAGGAGTCTATAATGGAAGGTAAATTATTTGGTGATAATGCTGCTTTGTGAGTTGTTATGATATTGTTGTTCCAGGTTTGAGGGTGTATCTTCTGCCAGACGGTAGGGAAGAGAGCAGTGCGGGGATTTTAGGAGGACCGCCACTCTTACCTGCAGAGGGCGCCATCTTCCTGACTAATTATCGTATAATATTCAAGGGAATACCGTGTGATTCATTTGGTAAGTTCAATAGTCATGTTTCTATTTGGAGAATCCAATCCATTCACAAATTTTACCTACTTCTTCAGAATTCTCTACTAAAAATTGTTTTTTTCTTCCTCAAAATTTCTTGAGTCAGATTCATCTATTTACTATTTGTGAAACCGTTTGGTAAAAGTCTCATAATAAAGGCTTTTTTGAATGTGTATACACTGTATTTCCCTAACATAAACTGTAACAGTTTCCGAAGTACAGATGATTATTATTATTGAAAATTGGAATAATATTTTTGGATCAAGTTGATGAAAAATTATTTCAATATAACATCAAAATATTTATATGAATACACATCGCAATTGCTCGTCAAAGATTACTCCTATAACCTTCATTGAAGTATTAGTGGATTACCATTCAGGGAGTATGAGTTGTGAAATTTTTCATTCACTGTGTAAAAGCTGATAAAACTACATTTGCTGATGTTCATGTGTAAATTGTTTTCAATACACCACCGATCCAAGCTATTTAAATCATGTAACAGAGTAACATTTTTTAATGATTCTATTGGTCTAAAAATTTTAAGAGCTGCAAACATCAAAAAGTTAAAATTTTCAAAACATTCAGTAATGTCAATAATGTTGAACATAAGAAGTGCACAATGAGACCCTTGAGGTACTCCAGACGAATGACAGTTGACCTAGCATTTCTTACTTGAACTTGCTGAAATCGGCCAGAAACTTTCAAGTCATGATGGAGACAGATCCATGAAACCAAATAATGTGATCCACTCAATCAAATGCCTTGGAGAAGTCTGCATAGACTACATCCAACCTTTTTTCTCCAGAGCCTCTATATTATTTGCTCAAATACCAATATGTTGGCAATTATAGACTTTTTCTGAGAAAAAACCATTGAACTAAAAATTTTTGTCTATCATTTGGGATGTTGATTTTCTGGCAGATGTTCAAATAACCATAGTATTCTGATAGATAGAGAGCATTAGAGTTATTAGGGCAATTCACTGTTACTCCTAGTTCATTATTTTTCCATAATGCTTCAAGGACATTGAAATCCTCAAAAATATAAATGTTGTGTTGCTGATAACAATGAGCAATGTTTTCTATAGTTGAACAATGTTCCTCATATGCGGAGGTATATACACTACTATGACGATCATTATTTTTCTTGTCATAGACTTCTGTTACATAACCTTCCTTCCTGTTATTCGTAAATATTATTTCGGTATATCCAACATTCTTCTATAATATCTACATTCCATAATGTTTAGATCTACTCTACATTGAATTTTTCAAATATTTCTCGAGTAGTCTACAAAGTGTTTTTATTTTTTTAGCTTGCGAACAAGTCGTCATTCGATCATTCCCTGTAACATCTCTCACGAAAGAAAAGAAGGTGGCCGTTCAATACCTCGCTCATCTAGACCAATGGCTTCAAGAGGGCCTCCAACTGCGCTCGTGTACCTTCCAGCTAATGAAATTTGCCTTCGACGAAGAAGTGACTCCTGAAAACGTGGACACTCTGCGCAAGCTCATACACAAGATTCGACATCCGCCTGACGTTTTCCACCATTTCGCGTTCACGGGCCAAGTCGTGGTTACACAGACGCCGTTACACAAAAACAAAGAGAAGAACGCCACTCTGCGAGGGTTCGCCAAGAAGACACTGCTGAAGACCGCAAGGAAGGCAGGCTTCAAGCAGAAGTCCTCGTCGAAGCGACAAAAATACGTCTTACCCAACATGAACGTAAACAGCTCCAACAAATATATGACTTCGCCGGGCCGAATGAGTCTGCCGATCGTCGACGATTACAATCATGATGACGAAATATCGATAGACGACTTCGAGACAGGCCACACACCGATTACGCCAGCACCGACTGATGCGAAGACGCTAGAGCGGTTGCAGGAGCGCAGCTACGTAAGGGATTGGCAGCGGCTGGGTCTCTGCAACACCACCTCGTCCCCTTCAGGTAAAGCTACGCAGCAGGATCAGTTCCGGTTGACATCGGTCAATGCGATCTACATGATGTGCAGAAGGTATGTGCGTTCGAATGAAATAATTTGTTTTCATGAATTAGAAGGTCTCAAGACATCATGTGGATCTCCAAAATCAACATTAACAATTCCTAGTTGAAAAACAATTTCTTTGTTTATAGTTATCCAGCTCTTTTTCTTGTTCCGGCGTCTGTTACGGACGAAAGTATCCGCCGGTTTTGTCGCTGCTATCGTCAAGGTCGAATCCCGAGCATAACTTGGCGGCATCCTCGTACGAAAGCGCTCCTTCTCCGTGGCGCAGGACACCACGGGAAGAGTGTAATGGGCATGTTGAAGAGTCACCCTGCTCCAGCAGCGTCTACAGGTATGCGATTTCATTGTTTTTCTATGGATCATAACATCTCGAATGTAATTTGTGTTTTGTCTGCTTTGATATACTACAATCAGAAGTATAGTAAACAAATTACCAATGGAGTTTATGGAAAAACATTATGTGAAAATTAATGTTTCTCATTCAGTTTGTACTCCAAACATTCTTCATGGATTTGGAGCAGATATCATTCATAGAAACGCTCAGTGTAAGTGATATTTCACTTCAAACACTATCAATCTCAAGGGTGTACATCAAAGTTTCGGAATAAGACACTTTTCTTATCTATCAAGAAAATAATTTTCCTTCTTGTCTGGTATTCTACAAATGACCTTCATTTCCTAACCAAATCCTCGATCAAGTTTTTTCTTTCATTCATTCCTCGAATATTCGAAAGTCTATTCGAATTTGTATAATACTGACTTTCATGAACACATAACAAGAAATATGAGGACAACCCTTGGCAAAGACTGTTATCGAACAAAAGTCAATTTTACATGATGTGTTCGAACTTTATAATAAAAATTTTAAGATTCTCAATCCGAAATATATCAAATCCGAACTTAAGAAATTTTAACAATTCCTGTTGATATTTTATTTCAATTTGCCATTTAAGTGACAACATGCTGTTAGCTCTCAATAACAATTTGTTATTAAGTCTTGATTGTACTTACTCACAAATAAATCCGGTTATTATTATATGCATATTTTGTAGTCATTTATATATTTGACTTGTATCGGTTTTTTTTTCACATTTCTGGGTCATCAACCCCTCATTAATTTCTGAATAAATAGAAACAACATCGTCTACGGAACAGGAGAAGTACCTATCAGCTTTGGTCGCAGTCACTCCAATTTTTTCTCACAGGACAGCATGGGGAATGTCAGACAGTTCGTTGAGTATAGATTCATTATTACTGGCAGCCGACGATCCGTTAGGATGTACCACGATGACACCTGAAGTTGCTAGGAGGTCGAACGCCTTCAATAAAGCTATTGGAACGTTAGGGTAAGTGGTGTCTGTAGAAACTGAATAAATAATGTTTTCATTTCAACTCTTTGACAGTGTATTCCCAAGGTCTTCAGGTGGCAAAGGCCCTAAAAATTTCGGCCGGTGGGGCTCTTTAAAAGATCGTCGTCAGTCTTCCCAGGCATCCCTAGCCGCGGGTCAGCAGAACAGGGTGAACATTCGCCACAGCACGGACGTAGAAAACGCTCTAGACGGAGTTCATACTCTCCAACGGGCCGCCTTGTATATCTTGGGCGAGAAGGCGCAGATGAAAGGTGTTAAAGTGGAATCTGCCCCCAAGACTGATTTTATCCCAGTGGAGTATTATGATATTCGTCACACTAAAGCTGCTTTCAAGAAACTCATGAGGGCTTGTATTCCTAGTTCGCAAAATGCTGAGCCTGAGCATAGTTTTCACAAGTGAGTTTAGTTAGGTTCGTTTGCATCATAATTATATTGGCCACAGTGAACACACAGTTTCCAAATCTGACATTTGAATTTGATGACTCCAATAAAATTGTATTTTGAATGTACATAGAAAGACGTTCATCGAAGATGTTTACAAAGTATTCAACAGGTTCTTTGATATCGTTAATATTTATTAATAATGCAGTATCTGGAAAGACAATAGAAAAACTATACCAGTATCTTTTATCGTCTCTGAGGGCCGTCTTAATATGAAATTTCTACGTGGTAGCCATTGTAGAAAATACTAGAACTAACAAACATCCAGATTTATTTAACACTGTTTTATACTGTTTAAGTTCAATAAACCCAAATTGTTGCAAACTGATGAAGTTGTGATTAATTACAATTGTTTTATAGTTTTGACTAAAAAAATTTTACGTGTTGAAATCGCTAAGAATTTTTATTACACAAACTTTGAAGTATTTTTTTCATGGACAAAAGACAAGCACTACAGGAAAATCCTTAAAGCTCTTTAAGAGCCTGTGCGAAAGTAGCGATTCACGTTGGATTTTTGAATCGCTGGAAATTAAATTAACTTGGAAAAACGTTCTCAGGAAGTTTATTCCACATAAACGAAGTTCTTAAACAGTGAAATTCGAGGTGTACTGAGGTGAACCTCAAAACGTTGAGCAGCTACAGTCCGTCGGGTATTTCTGATATGTACCGCTCTTGATGGAATTAAATGTGCCAAGTCACTTGAACACCTCCCGTGAAAGTATCTATTAAAGAGAGACATATCTTCAACCTTTCTTCGATGTTCCAGGCTATCAAGGTTGCGAGTGATGTTCGCGTCTCCAATCAGGCGGATGGCTGATTGAGAACAATACTCCGAAGAAGGTCTGATCTGAACTTTATGTAGCATCAATAGTTGCTTAGCTGTATACAGTTTTCTGGTTCGATACTGTCTTCCAAGCTTTTGAGAAGCAGCATTTGCAATTCCAGCGACATGATTGTGACAAGACATATTGGTGTCCATTCCGATCCCTAACAAACTTATTGAAGCAGAAAGCGGAACTGTCTGTCCTGATGCCAAGACATTGGTGTCCATTCCAACCCCTAACAAACTTATTGAAGCAGAAAGCGGAATTGTCTGTCCTGACATTATTATATCCAGTTTGGAGACATTCATCTTTTTGAAGACAACTGATGGCTGGATTTTTGTAGCATTGAATTGAACCTGATTACTTTGTAATGATTTAAATAATTTTTGGATTTGCACACTACTCGAGTTACTTGGTATGAATGTAAAAAAGTATTCACAACTTAATCTCTGCAATCACTTTGCACTCCCAGAAGAACTTGTACACCACATACTACTTGATTGTTCATCATGTTCACTTCTGAAAACAATATTAATAATACTCAATAATAATAATAATTTTATTAACTATTATCGGTACATAATGTACATATGGTAAGTCTATAATTGTAATATATGTTATATACATATTAAGAATAAAAATAATAGTTAGTTATTTATTTTATTAATTAATTTTATTAAATATTCAGCATTTCCAACTTAAGGCTGAAGCCATGTATTGATGAGTGTCATTAACGATTATCTCATTTTTCTAGACTGATAGAAAATTCGGAGTGGTTGCAGCAAATCCAAAACATCATGCAGCTTTCCGGAGCAGTGGTCGACCTCCTCGATCTCCAAGGCTCATCGGTAGCTATTTGTCTAGAAGAAGGTTGGGACATAACTGCGCAAGTTGCTTCAGTAGCTCAACTCTGCTTGGACCCCTACTATCGCACATTGGAAGGCTTCCGAGCCCTCGTAGAAAAAGAATGGATCGGCTTCGGCCACCGGTTCAGACACCGCAGCAACCTGAACGCCAATTCGCAGGCTAGCGGATTCGCTCCAACTTTCTTACAGTTCCTTGACGTTGTGCATCAAATCCAGAAGCAATACCCAATGGCTTTCGAGTTCAATGACTACTACCTGCGGTTCCTCGCCTATCATTCAGTGTCGTGTCGGTTTAGGACGTTTCTGTTTGACTGCGAACTCGAAAGGGTGGAAAGTGGCGTAGCGGCAGTCGAGGACAAAAGAGGGTCGTTGACATCGCATCACAAGAGTGTCGATACTGTTTCTGATGACGAAAACATCTACCCCGGTGGTAGAATGGCGACTGCATATCAGGGCCCAAATTTAGGACAGAGCGTGTTCGATTACATTGAAAAGCAGCACGCTAGGAATCCGATGTTTTTCAATTTCATGTATACTCCCGATTTCGAACACCCAGTGTTGAGGCCGCAATCGCATTTGCCTTGCTTAGAGGTGTGGAACTATTATCTGGACGAGGATTTGAGGTATGGGCCGAGCTACGACGCCGAGATTATCCAGATGGATTCTCAGCAGGAAGAGGAAGTGGAGGCTGCAGATGGTATAGTTAAGACGAGGAAGGTCGTTTCATTAGGGTTAGTGCTTTTAGTTGATTTTGAAAATGATGTCAATGTCCATCCACTTCACCATAAATATTTTCCTGTTGAATTTTATCAATTCAGAGGGGAAATGAATAGACACATGATATTTATGATGGTATACAATTTGAAATTTAGGAAAAATTCCCATTTCTCTCATCACTTTTTATTTGCCATCATATATTTTACCATTATGACAAATTCTCATTTTGGAAAAAAAAAAGAATAATTTTCAATCTAATCAATCACTTAGCTTTCAATGCACAATATTATTATAGAACACATTTCTAATTACTATTAGTTTGAATTCAATTTGAATATCAAAATGCAATTTATGGAAAGACAATAGAAATTTTTTCCTAAATTTCTTAAGTAGTAAATTTGAAATATTTCATTTATATCTGAAGATTATAGCGCACTAGATTACTTAAAATACCCTCTTATTGCTTTATACACTTTGAAGTTATAACTTTTGCCTGACTTATTCAAAAGGCCAAAATAGTACTCAAACTGTCTTGATATCAACTAATACAATAAATGAAGATATCTCCAGTTATAATTCTTCAGCAAAAAACAGTCTAGAGAAATTTCAAAAAAATCAAAACAATATTTTTTGGGAAATAAATTCAAGATATTTTTCAAATGATATTCCCACTATATTTGCTTGAATTTGGAAATGAATAATTAGTCAATCACTTTAATTAAATTGAGTTACATTATCATTCCTAGATGTAAAGAAATTTATCATCTCTCTGGGGTTTTGCATCTGAAAGTATGTCTTCCTAGATCTACTTCCATTAGCAACATTTTTTCAATACCTGCATTTATTGAAATTTCTTTGTTGTTTCTGTAGATATGGGAAATTCCATCAGAGTGAGATTGATTAACTGTTTGTGATTCGAATCTGGCATTTGTCTCAAAGAACCAAAATTCTTTTCGATTTGTCTGTTATCTTTCCTCTTTTTCAGATACGATAATGTTAACAAAGCCGTACCAGATGCTTTCAGCCACCTTCTGGAAGAAATCCACAAGCTAGAATCTGATTTGGGTCACTTGCCACAAAAATGGAAAATTTTGTGGGATAAATTGGAACTTCCTTTGACTGATTCGTTGACTGTAAGTGAAAGTTCAATTCAGTGAACTATAACTACAACTTTTGATGTAATTTTAGCGTCATGCTTCCTTCAGCACCGCACTGGTGAGGTCTCACGGCAGGCTAGTGCACAAGAGATCTACATTGGAAATTCTGATGAGGGGTAAAATGGTGGGAGCTGCAGAAACGTCTCACATTTATTCACACCCTCACAGATTCGAGCGTTACAATTACACCACTCCCACTTACTGTGATTTATGTTCCAATTTGTTATGGGGACCTGTGAAAGTGTGTTGTTGTTTTTTTTTATTTCTGTAATATATTTAAATTTTTTTCAGACCGGTATGAGATGTATAGATTGTGGATGTAGCTGTCACGAAAAATGTATGGAAAGTGTACCGAAAAATTGTACAAAGTATAAGTCGGTTGCAGATAGCACAACATCCCAAGTTATACAGAGCAATACTGGAGATAATGGTTCTGTTAGTTCTGGTTAGTAAAAAATTGATTGGTAGAACTTGAATTCTCATTTTCTGAAAGACTGAAAGCTTTATTGATATATCACAATGTTTCATAATAGTTTTTCAATTTTTAACTTTTCCCCTAAATTTTCCCTCATTTTTCTTTTTTCTGTTGTAACACATTTCACGAAAAATATTTTATTGTATTCAGGTAGCGCCAGGCAAACATCTAGTCAACAATACTACGATCAGTTCTCATCGAATGTGGCTGAGGATAGAACTCACGAGGGTTATTTGTACAAACGTGGGGCACTGTTGAAGGGTTGGAAGCAAAGATGGTTCGTTCTTGATTCAATCAAGCACCAGTTGAGGTATTATGATGCCATGGAAGACTCACATTGTAAAGGATACATTGGTGAGTCGATTTTTATCAATGAAATAAAGTATAAATATAAATTTTATTCACATTATTTTTGCCGAGTTGTCCACCATATTGGTACTGTATGTTTTTCAGATGATGAGTTATTGAATCTTTGAAAATTTACATTTTATTTTTATTATTGACTCATTTTAAAATGTGAATGCATAAAAAAATAACTAGTCCTTTATCTTGGGCAGAACACAATATTGATGACGTCAAAATTCATTTGCAAGATTTGAGCCAGACTAACATACATACATAAAACATTGCAAGTTAAATAAACGAATAATAATAATAATAAGAATAAAAAGACTTACAAAGAGACAGATATAAAGACAGTAATTGCTAGTACATAAAGTAAATATTGTGTATAAAAAAGCATCTAAGTGACTTAACACTTGTGTTATGCTACAAAGTAATACTAATCAATATAAAATTACAGTTGTGTACAGAGAGTAAGGAAAACATCTAGTGGCAGTGTATCTATTGGTGTTCTAATATTTTGATAAATTCAAAGTAATTTTCGAAGATAATTTTTTTGATTCCAAGTCATTTTTAAAGATAATTTTTTTGATTCTATAGAGGTTTTATCCCTAGGGGGATATCAAAGCTTTGTCTATTAATATAAAAGTGTTTCAGCATATCATAAGATTTCTGTTTAAGTGTATTATTATTGCCAACAAATTTGAGATCAGAATCCATATGGATTCTGTTGGACTCCATATGGATTCTTGGCACTTGATTTTTTCCCTGGACTCCAATGTGTGTTCCTCGATTTGAATTAATATATTTTCTATGGCCCTTTGCTGGTCTTTGGTTTTCCAAAGATGATCATGGATGACATAAGTGTTCAGATTTAGGCAATGATTTTCAGAAATTTTCAGAAATTTGAACTAGATTTTTGACATTGTTATTTAGTATATATTTTTGAGAAAGAAAACTTTCCAGCTCAGCGAAATAATACAAATTTGTATCATTGAGAACTTGACTAAAATCTGAAGTATAAATGAAAAAGAGTGGTGGGGCAATAATGAATCTTGAGGAGCTCCATTGGAAACGTTGAGATCATCGGAAGTACGATCTTTTATTACCACTCGTTGAGTTCTATTGCATAGAAATAATCTTATAAATTCACATGTATTCTGAGTAAAACCTTAATAGATAAGTTTGGCACACATCAAGGAGTGCTTCATAGTGTCAAATGCTTTGCTGTAGTCTTTATCCGTTGGTGAAAAAATAGTTTGAATCATAAATGAGTACAAGAAAACGTTCACTAAAAATTATTGATGACTCGACTGGTTGGTGATGAACAGTCGAGTGCTTTAGAGGTGTCCATGGGAGTGCCATGGGGCAAGATTCTGGGTCATTAAATTTATACAATTGCCTGGCAAGCATAACTTGACTGGCAATAACCACAATTAACTATGCAGATGACTGTACATTATTTTTCCATCCATAATTATATACTAAAATGCGAGGCACTACTAGCGCATGTATGAAAGAAACAGAAATCTGATTCATCAACTCCTGACCCGCTTTGAACTCGGAGAAAACCAAACCTTTTTTTTTCAAAAGCAACAATACTATAGAAACAGCCCAGTATATCACTTTGATCAATGTCCTTTTCTCTAAGAATGTCTTGGGATATTTGTTGATGACAGCCTGAAATATGGTGCACGTATTGAATCTCTTTGTAAAATCTGAGTCAAACTCTCATGCTCAATATCATATTATCATTGGGGACGAATATAGCGATTTGAAATGCGAAAATAGCGAAATTCAAAAATGTGCTTTGAGCATCATGAAATGAACACTGTTCAGAACACCTTACTTACCTCAGCATTCTTATGGTACTCTAGTAAAACCAATAATGATTGAGAGTAAAGTGCGTTGTCATATCTAAATTTTACGTTACCAGTTTATAGCAGAATCAAAATATAGTAAGCAGTAGAGTTGTAGGTTGTGGCAAATTATAGATAATACACAATACTAGTANATCTTATAAATTCACATGTATTCTGAGTAAAACCTTAATAGATAAGTTTGGCACACATCAAGGAGTGCTTCATAGTGTCAAATGCTTTGCTGTAGTCTTTATCCGTTGGTGAAAAAATAGTTTGAATCATAAATGAGTACAAGAAAACGTTCACTAAAAATTATTGATGACTCGACTGGTTGGTGATGAACAGTCGAGTGCTTTAGAGGTGTCCATGGGAGTGCCATGGGGCAAGATTCTGGGTCATTAAATTTATACAATTGCCTGGCAAGCATAACTTGACTGGCAATAACCACAATTAACTATGCAGATGACTGTACATTATTTTTCCATCCATAATTATATACTAAAATGCGAGGCACTACTAGCGCATGTATGAAAGAAACAGAAATCTGATTCATCAACTCCTGACCCGCTTTGAACTCGGTGAAAACCAAACCTTTTTTTTTCAAAAGCAACAATACTATAGAAACAGCCCAGTATATCACTTTGATCAATGTCCTTTTCTCTAAGAATGTCTTGGGATATTTGTTGATGACAGCCTGAAATATGGTGCACGTATTGAATCTCTTTGTAAAATCTGAGTCAAACTCTCATACTCAATATCGTATTATCATTGGGGGCGAATATAGTGATTTGAAATGCGAAAATAGCAAAATTCAAAAACGTGCTTTGAGGATCATGAAATCAACACTGTTCAGAACACCTTACTTGCCTCAGCATTCTTATGGTACTAGACACCACCCTAACCTCAATTTACCTCACCATCATTTATCACTTTTCGAAAAAAGGATCCTTATTCATGCATTGAATTTTATTGTTTAGTTCATAGAGAAACAAAACAAAAATTGATTTGAGTTTTATTCTGTATTGCGAAGGTCTGATTTAAGTAAGTCTGTAATGATATAATTATTGAAGATGATTTTCTGTGAAGATCTCTTTTCAGCAGTATATCTCTGCTGGGAGCTAATAATCAAAAACAAAACGTATTTCTAACGAGTGTTCTTTCAGATCTGGCTGAAGTAATGTCTGTGAATCCTGCACCTCCAGCTCCTGGTCCTCCCAAAAAAACAGATGATAAATCCTTCTTTGACGTGAGTATAACGTACTCTTTCTCAGTCGTCTATCTTGTTTTGTACAGGGTGCCTCATAAGTCGTGGTACAAACTGAAGAAGGTGACGGAAGTCAATTCTGATAAAAAAAGAAAGATCATATAACATAGGATCCAATTCATCACCATTTTTGATTAACTTTCATTTTCGTTTTTTGCAATCAAAGTTGGAAGAAGCATTTACTAATTAAAAGATCTCAAATGCATTTGCCGATGATATCAAGATCTTTAAATTTATTATCTGCACAAATGAAGTTTTACTTCTTGAGGAAGATTTGAGTAAATTCTATGAATGGTCTGTACTGAATTATATGGACCTTGATGAAGTCACATGTCACCGCAAGTTTTTTTCTGAGTGATGCATCTAGTTATTAATGACTGTATTTTTAATAAAGTTTATTCAAATAGAACGTCAGATATAAAAGATCTAGGAATTCTGTTTGATAAGGTACACAACTTCAAATCACATACCGAGTATATTACAGCCAAAGCGTTCAAAATGTTGAGATTTGTTAGTAGAAACTGTGAAAACCTTAAGTACTCTCAAGTTGTTAAACTGTTCATTGATAAGATCACTATTAGAGTATACATTCCTTACTTATATCAAATATAAATAATTTCTTGAGATTGCAATCAATGGTAAGGGTTGGTTTGAGAAAACTCTTTGTTTGAAAATTTCGGCTGAAAATTTCCTCAGGACAACTGAAAATGAATAGTTAACAAAAACTAGTCTCGCCTAAAAATATAATCCTCTGTATTCAAATAACCAAGTACTTTCGCAAATTAGAGAAAATCCAACTCAGTATGAAATTAGTGAATTTGAATACATTTTCCCATGCTAACTGCTTTCGGAAGTAAACCAGCAAGCTTGGTGGAGTTTCCATATATACGCGACAAAATATTTCAACTGTAACCATTTCTTTGAATAATTTCTGTATTGTACAAGACACTGAATTTTTTGGAAATGAAATAGCATAAACAAACACCATTCTAATAGTGGCATATCAGTATTCGTTATCCGGAGCATAAAATAATTTGTTTAATAAAATAGAAGAGCTCCTAACAAAGATATCAAAGCATTATAGTGTTGGATGATTTCAACATTGGCAACAATAGTAAAACAAAGTCATTCAGATCGAAAGTGAAGTCCTATATTTTCAAGTTGCAAGTTCAGTGTTGAGTGAATTACCGATAATTGTTGGGGAACAATCTAAGCCGCGCAAAGTTTGGCATTACAGATCTGCTGAGTGGGAGGATCTTCAAGACCATTTCCGAAGTTTCCCTTTGTTTCAGCTCTAAGATCCATCTATTTGTGCTTTTGAAGTAACGGAAGTTATTCTATCATTCATGGTTGCATATATTCCTTTTTCAATGAAACGAACTTCTAACGGCAAACCTTGGTTCAAAGAAAAGCCCACCGACAAGTTTGTTTTCGTTGATATTATCAAATACGAGGTCCTTGAGCTCTCTCAGCGATTCTGTTTTCATCTCCTCAATCGTCGCAAAACGCCTTTTTTTCTTAGGAACAGGAAAAAGTCGCAAGGGGCCACATCTGGTGAATACGGTGGCTGAAGTATGATTACAGTGTTGTTTTTGGGCACAAAATTACAAGCAACGATTAGTCAGCAGTTGCATTATCGTGATGCAAAAGTCATGAATTGCTTTTCCACAATACCGCACGTTTTCTTCGTATTGATTTTCGCAAGGGCCGCATAACTCCTTATTGACCATACAACCATGTGGCAACAACTCATGATGCACTACGCCATGGTAATCGAAGAATACAGTGAACATTGTCATTTTATCGAACTTAGCGTGCTTGTTTGGTGTTGGCTCCCCTGGACTTTTCCATTGAAACGATTGGACTTTGGTTTCGAAGTGATAACCATATACCCATGATTCGTTTAGGCAAATCTGGATCGCCGGTGACGTCATTCATAAATTCCTGAGCGATGCTCGTGCGAGGGTAATTTTTGTCAAACCAATATGCCGACATCCTCATCGATTGTTGATGTGCTGGGGCGTCAACATGTTTCTGACTTAGAGTACAGTCACCGCATGCCACTGTCAGTATTTCTAGTGTTCACTTAATTCCAAACATGCTAAACAGCTAAAACTGAACATATGTTCGAGACGAGTGTACCAACATAAAAAAATATTTAGTCGAATGTGTAGCCCGCAGAATTTGAACATTCACCATATTTTGTGAACAGATCTCGTATATATTGTGTCAACAAATGCTATCTCCACTGAATAGTTAACTGGAAATCCATGGTGGGATGAAATAATGATATTTGTTTGTTTAAATAGTTGATTATTTGGTTGCTGTTTCCGTTATTTTGGAAAAGCAGCTGAGGAGGCAAATCATCCTATAATTTTCAACACACTGGGTATCACAACATATCGAATTTAAAAAAAAATGGGTTCTCAAGATTTTCTGGAAAATGAAAAACTTTCAATACTGCTTACTTCTAAAAAATCATTAAAAATATACTTGGATTTTTTACAATATATTTTGAAGTATTTTTGTAACAAAGAGTTTTTTTCGCAAAAATCAAAATTACTTGAAAACTGTGAGGAATCAGACCTATCTATTCTTCAGTTTCAACGATAATTCCATAGACCCCTTGTAGAACGATTTCATAACTTCTCTTTACGTTTCTGTGAACTAATTTAAAAACTTCTTTTCTGCAGTTACGTACTAGTCGTCGTACATACAACTTTTGTGCAGCAGACACTGCATCAGCGCAAGAGTGGATCGAGAAGCTCCAAGCTTGTCTTTAGATAAAAAAAAAGAAAGAAAATACTCTTAATCCAAAGTTAGATAATTCCTATATATATATATTTTTTAATGTTAGGCTGACAATAAATGTTTTATTTTTTATCCGTTATTTATATTTTTTTATGTGTATATGTTATATTGATTGTTTAGGTATGTCGCACAATGGTGTAGGACTGGAAGTTCATGAAAAAACTCGGATTCTGGTGTATTTGTAGTTGTAGATAGTTGAAAAGTTTTTTATTTTGTGAATTTGACAGGTCTATATGATTTGGCTTGCAGGAGAAATCAAAAATCATTTTTGTTTTTTTTTTCACTTAGAAATGGAAGCATGTTGGTGGAAAATTTTCTAGCTGCTGGAAACTAAGGTAAAATAGTTGAAAAATGTGAAGAAACAAATGTATTCAATTTTTTTTGTTATCCATCAAAATCACATTTTTTTGCTAATTATTGAAATATAAACTATTTTGATAGGGTAAGCGAGAAAGGTACAGAATAAAATTAAGGAGTGGTATCACTAAATTTAAAAAATATACTACAACACACGCTAGCAAGCGATTATTGACATGTGATTCACTACAAAAATAATCCATAGAATCACAAAATTTGTTATATTTGGAGAAAACCTCTTGAGTTTTTCCAATTGTGTTATTAAGAAAAAAAGGCCCTTTATTCCTATATGTGAAAGTATAGACAGTGAAAATAATGTCAAAAAACCATGAGAAAAGGTTTCCCATCTTTATATATCAAGGCACGAACTTATTTGTAATAAATTTAAAAATATAGGAGTCTATTAATAATAATAATACTTTTTATTCCTTTTAGATCATACAATTATGGTGTAGGAAACGTCAAATACAAGTATATTTATAGCAACAATATCCAGATTAAAATATAAGGGAGTTACATCAAGGGAAAAACAATTATTATATGCAGTATACATATATTTAAAACTAGTTAGTTATTTTGAAGAAAAATTTTATCACAATTATAAATTAAGGAGTTTCAATGCTCTACTTCTAAAATACATGATGTGTACCTGTTATGAGTCTCATTATTCTTATGAGTCTCATTATTCTTATGAGTCTCATTATTCTTTTTTTGTTGACTCTTTCAGAAATGTTCACGTTCGACAATTTCAAAGTTCATTCAAATTTACTCTACAATAATTGCAGTGGAATTCTTCTGTTCACAAACATTTATTTATTCACTCGGGTAAAATTAAAAAAGAATGATTAGTTAGATTTTCATTCACTTTAGAAAATTAGACACTTCATACATGCAGATAACTTACAAAAGTAAAACTATTATTTTTATAACTATAATCATATATTTATCACTACCCTCTCAAAATGTTTAAAATCGCGGAGGAAACAGTTTCATATTGTATATATTTGCAAAAACAGACCATAAAATTTCCTAAAAATTATGTTGGTGTCACACTGGTACTGGGCCCAATCATTACATTGAATTGAATCATTAATTAGAATTTTTGATAGAAGTTCTTATAAAAATGTCAAATGCTGCGATTCACTATCTTTCGCCCCTCTTAAGGAAACATTAACATTTTTCAACTATTTTACTGTAATCACCTTATAATGCTGTTATATTGAAATGTTTTTATGTCCAGATTTTGTTTTTGGGACTGTGCTAAAGATCCTTTTATTATACTTCGATTTTGAAACCTTTTATGATACTGTTCGACATATTCATAAATTTATTTTGATACTTATCTAACTATGAATCTCCTGTCCAAACGAAATCGTTGACCAGATTGACAGTATCAACTAACTCAATAGAAAAATCCGAGAATTTTTCACTCGTCCAGTGGTACATCGACTTTGTTGTATGTGCTTATATTTTGTATAGTTAGGCGTTATATTTTTTGTAGAACATTAATTTTTACGTCAAGCTCAAATAGTTGAATTTTGTAGAACGAAGAAAATGTACTGTAGCCGATAAGTTTAGAAGTTGCCATTCGAATTATATATTTTGACTCGTTCATCGAATCTCTCCGTTGTGCTATCGAAATCCAAAAGATTCTTTATGTTTATACGAAAATAATTAGATATGATTAGAGAAAAATAACTCCTGCGAGTGTATGTTATGTATGCTCTTATTATTATTGACATTATCTGGGAACTCTCATTTGCTGACGGTTCATATCCATTGAAGTCCAAAATGCTTACATATAGTGGAGGTATGTAATTTAGAATAAATTATATATTATAACTCTTTTATTGTTTGGACACGTTCATTACTTCATCAAATCGCGGCCTTATTTTTGAAAAAGTATTCATACAGAGTATTCCCAATTGATAATATGATGTTGGTAATTGTTAAATATCAATCAAGTTTTCAGTTTCAACTCCTTTTACTTCAAAACAGCGCTCTTGAGTAGTCCAACAATTCATCCTTATGGAATGGCAGTGTTACTATCTCCATTCGGGTTTGAAGGCCGTCGTAGTTTGAAACTGCATCCTAATGTTTCGCCAGCACGAGTGGCTGGCTTCTTCAGAGGTTTATTCGTCTTGATGATTCACCGATGACTGGTGATTTCAAGTTCGTAGGTTGTATTTATGTTGACTCAGATAGTACGCCTCTCTTGTTGATGTCTTGCTATTGACCGAAGTGTTATTACTTGTTAATGAAGTAACATTGCAATGTTGTATTTATGTTGATTCAGGTAGTCCGCCTCTTGTTGGTGCTTTGCTATTCACCGAAGTGTTATTATCTATTATTGATGTAACATTGCATTGTAAAGTCATTGGTTGATATTGGCCAAAGTGTTATTACCTGTTAATGCCTGTAATGCATTGTAACGTAATTGGTTGATATTGGCAGAAGTGTTATTACCTGTTAATGACGTAACATTGCAATGTTACAAGAGAGGCGGACTACCTGAGTTAACATAAATACAACCTACGAACTAGAACTCATCAGTCATCGGTGAATCATCAAGATGAATAAACCTCTAAAAAAGGCAGCCACTCGTGTTGGCTAAACATTAGAATGCAGTTCCAAACTACGACGGCCTTCAAACCCGAATGAAGATAGTAACACTGAAAATCTCAGCCACGAAAACCTTAACCAATTTATGAGTATGGATTGTCCTTTCGCGAGCCTCATCCAACATAATAACAGAGTACTATTTCGAATCCAAGTCCACGAGACACTCTCGCGATAACATACTGTCTGTCTTGTACTTGGATCATTGTTTTTGTGATTTTTCTATCCTCAAATCGTATGGTATATCCAACCTCCTGCCACAAGATCTAACCGAATTCTTCAGCAACTCATTTTGCCACTGACGTGGCTGCCACACGTCTTGGTTGAGAACATCCAATTTTTCTCCAAGCAGTCATTCCTGCTTCACTCAGGTACTGGGTGATCTGTATAGTTTTTCCCAATCCTGTCTCTTGTATAACAATGAATATCTGATTATCGGCGACTGCTTGTCTCAGATCTTCTTTCAATTTATAAATTGGATGCGATTGATGTTGTTCAATTGTTGTTAGATTTGTTTTCTTTCCAAATGAAGATTTTTTTGCTACCTATCACGTTTCTTCCACTCCTGTAAGTCTTGTGATTGCATTCCTATCTCTCGGACAGTTGTAGTCTTGGAGTTTTCTTCTGGAAGAGGGTCTATTCAATTCTTGTTTTTTCGTGATGGTTGAGAATTGTCTTCCTATTTCCATTGGACCATCTTTTGTTCCCGTCTTTCCTTATCTAAAGCAGATTGCATTATCGCTGCCTGGGCTAGTGATTCGTCTGGAATTTTATCTATTCATACTGGGCTCAGATCTCGCACAGCTCAATCATGTCCTTGTAAAAATGGTGATTTGTCTTCAACTAACTCAATTTCTATATCAACTTCTCCTCCATCCTCATATTTGGGTAACTGTATCTTTATAGAAGTCAGGCAACTCAGTCTTGTCAATACATCCTGATGCTGTCATCCGATTGATTTCCCATTGTTCAGCGCTAGACATCCTTGTAACTTTTTTTTTTTCTTGAAGCCTTCATTGACGTAAAGTCTCAGTACTGATGTGCTACCATATGCAGGTCTTTCTGGGTTTCTATCTTTATCTTCACGCTTCAAAGGAGCATGAGAGTGAGGGTTCAAATCTTTACCAGTCATTTGGCAAACGTATTTCATAGGCAGAAAAAATTTTTGACCTGTCACAGTCAGTACTTTCACCTTAACTTTGCTCCATTTAGAAATAACTTCAGAGACATTGGTTACTCTCCCCTCTGTTCGAAGTTGTGATATATAAACCAGTCTGTCCCATTTTCTTCTAAGTCCCTCTAGTTGTACAAAACATCCAAATGGCACAATGTTTTAAACTTTTCCGCAATATATCTTTCCAGGAACCGGATCATCCTCAGGGCTATCTCTTTCTAGTTTTCTCTTCTCTGGATTCCTCTCTCTTCTTTTTTCCCTTGATTTATTTTTTGATGCCTTTCTCTTGATCCACTTCTGTCTCTCCTACCCCTTCGATCTCTTGATCTATTTCTATCCCTTTTTTCTCTAGATCTGATCCTATCACTCTTTTGCATGGATCTTTTTTGCACTCTTGACCAATTTCTAGGTTCTTCGTCTTCGCTGGAATTATCATCAGAACATCTAGACCTTGATCTCGGTCTCTTAAGTGATCTACTTCTTGATCTTCTGCTACTTCTGTTTTGGGAAGTTGACCTTTTTCTATTGTTTCTATTTTTAGCACCTTTACTTTGGCTTGAATCCTTTTCTATATTGTTAGATTTTCACTGAACAGTTTTACAAAAACGCAACACATGTTGCATTTTTGTAAAACTGTTCAGTGAAAATCTCACAATGAAGTGTTTTTTGAAGATGAAGTAAATATAATTTGAGAAGTCAAAAAATATTAGTTTCTCTTTCAGTCACTGTTTTTTGGCACCAAATTTTTTGATAGTAGATTTGGGGGCACACTAAGTAAATATTTTTTTTTAGAAGGCCTCGCGTTATTCCAAGTTACTAACCCATACTGATTTGAAATGTTAATGAAACAAATTTCGAAAAACCTCTTTATGGGATAAAATTATATCAGCTTCCTAAGTATGAGAATAAGAAGAGCCAATGA